AAGATTTGGCATATGTTGGTATCTGACAAAATAGTTTTCTGATTTTTCAATGCACAGTCAAGATTACAAAAAAATACAAAAAGAACTAAGATTTGGAACAAGGACGGTACGAAATGCAAGGTTTGTAACTTTCAAGCTAGGGAAGTCCAGAATATAATTAGTTCAAAACAACCACAAAACTGTATTATGATTTTGCCTTTTTAAAGTCATTTCAAAAAAATTATCCTTTGTATGAAGAAATGACAACCCAGATGATGAAGCAAGCAATTACAAAAAGCAAATATAAAACATGAAACATTCAAAGATCAATAGTGCAGTTTTAAGCACTCAAACACGGTCAAACATGGTTAAAAATTTAATAATAATAGATGAAACAAAGACATTTTTGTGATGATCATGGTCAAATGAATAAGAAGTTGTTGGATGAATCGTAATATCCACTTCTGACCCGGAGTACTCTAGATCTCTAAAATATATTACATGATTGTATAAACATGAGATTTTAAGTGCTGTGCTATATTTTTCCACTGCGATTTGCTTGCAATTATGAATCTGCAAGAAGCACACAACAACATACAATTCTAGACTTTGATTTACCTAAAATTCCATCCATTTGTCTCTCGTTGTCAAATAACAAGCAGGATTATTCATTCAACAAAATATACAAATAATTAATTTTAAAACACAATTTATAGGCATTCAACAAACCCTTTTGAAACAATGATGGAGTTGATTTCTGGGGAAATACTTTTGGTCACAAAATGATAGAAATATGACCTATTTCTTTACAGATAATAGACAAGGCAATGTTGTGCTTTCTTTCTGTAGAGTGAAATGTACTACAGGTAAGCTGTGTGTGATGTTTGAAGGGAGGAATCAGCAAAACAAAAGTCTTTTTGCAAGGATTAATAATTACTCTAGCTGCTTTCTAGTAAACATTCTTGTAACTTTTAATGTAGTCATGTCACAGATAGTTTAGGTAGTATAGACAGTACTTAAAGTGAGAGGTTGGTAAAAGTCCAGTGACCAGCAGGTATGGCCTTGACAGTGGGTCAGGATCTCTTTTCCTGGTCCCGGTGGTCTCTGCAACAGATAGAACATTAATACGAGGATCACATACTCTCAAGTGACTTTCTAAGTTAAAAGTAGTAATTTCAAAGGTAGACAGGCTGTTGTAGGCTTTAGCCTGTAGTCAAGTCACAGTGAGAGGTCCAGTGACCAGCAGGTATGGCCTTGACAGTGGGTCAGGATCTATTTTCCTGGTCCCGGTGGTCTCTGCAAAAGATCAATATTAATACGAGGATCATATACTCTCCAGTGACTTTCTAAGTTAAAAGTGATGTGTTGTTTTAGAGAATGAACACAAATGACCACTCTGGGACCATCCTTGTTGTACGAATCTGATTTTTTTTGCCGTGGTCATGTCCAGACTGTGCTCCGCATTTATTAATCGAGCACGTTTGAAGCAAATTCATCAATCTACCTGAAGTTACATAAATCGAAGTTGACAGTTTTACTTCCGCCTTTTAAGCGAATGACAACTTAACGCCCTGCAAAATATTGGCCCTTGTGCAACAGGGCTAAAATCCTGTCCACCTCAAACAAGTACAAATAGGTGTCTCCTGAATTTCTGTGAAGTTTCCGTGTTGTACATGCTTTTAAAGTACTGAGTCCATTTTTGGCAAAATATCGCGAGGTATATTTTGCCCAACAAGGGTACTTAAAAAGCGTGTACAGCACGGAAACTTTGCAGAAATTCAGGAGACACCACAGTCCTATTTGCACTTGTTTGTGGGGGTGGACTTTTAGCCAGTTGCGCAAGAGTCAATATTTTGCGGGGTGTTAAGTTGTCATTCGCTTAAAAAGGCGGATCTGAAGTAAAACTGGCCACTTTGATTTGTCAAACTTCAGATTGATTAATTCACTTCAAACTCAGGATTTAATAAAAAGCACAATCGGAACATGACTACAGCAAAAATGTCAGATTTGTGCAGCAAAGACGGCCCCAGAGTTGCAGGTAAAAAGATACATAACTGTAGATAGACTGTTGAGTGAGAGGTTTTATATAGTTGAAATGTAATGTTAAAGCTTCCCATGATTAAGATTTAGCCCAGTCGTTTAAGTTACAGAAGTTCAGGCAGTCAGTAGACAGTTTTCAGTGTTTAAGTGTGAAAATTTGGGCAAGGTTTCCAAAAGTCAAGACTGAAAGAACATTTAGTGTTTTGCTGATTCCTTTTAAAGTCAATTTTCCCACAAAAAAACCCCAACTAATTGGCACCCTCACCTGGTTAATTAATTGGATTAAGTTTTCCCGCCAAAAAACTTAGTATATGGAGCACTCTAACCTTGAACTTGTGCCCCCCTCCCCACTCTTCCTGCACTTCTTCCACAACTCACACAGTATGTTAGTTACACTTTTCCAACTCTCTGGATTTCTTCGAACATGTAGTCACCAAACTCTACCACCCAAACAGTAATGGTTAATCGAGTGAAGTTTTCCCACCACTTAGACTTCAGAATAATCTCTCGCTCTCCTGGTCGGTCAATGCACTAAGTGTACTCCCCGAGGGATGTCTTTCCGGAGACATTGATGCTTCGACACATCAGTATACCAGTGCAATTGACTGACCAGGAGAGCGAGAGATTATTCTGAAGTCTAAGTGGCGGGAAAACTTCACTCGATTAACCATTACTGTTTGGGTGGTAGAGTTTGGTGACTACATGTTCGAAGAAATCCAGAGAGTTGGAAAAGTGTAACTAACATACTGTGTGAGTTGTGGAAGAAGTGTGGGAGGTGGGCAGGAAGAGTGGGGAGGGGGGCACAAGTTCAAGGTTAGAGTGCTCCATATACTAAGTTTTTTGGCGGGAAAACTTAATCCAATTAATTAACCAGGTGAGGGTGCCAATTAGTTTTTTTTGGCGGGAAAATGGACTTCGCAAGGAATCAATGTGAGATTGATGTGGCCAGCTAAGTTTTTGGGCAGGAGAATTTAAGTGCAAACAATGGTCCAAAGAGACAATTTTGGAGTAATTTGGCAATCATACGATACGAAGAGGCCGGCTAAGATACTTTTTGGCAAGAGAATTTAAGTGTTAAGGTCCAAAGAGACAATTCTCGGGCAATTTGGCATATTCAACTAAACAAGATGAAAAATTCTTCAGTGACACTTAAAATTAGAATTCAGGATAACAACGTGGCATTGAAAGGGAAGGGCCAACTAGGTTATTAAGTTTTTTGGCAGGAGAATTTAAAAGCTTACAGGTCGAAAGCAACAATTTTTGGGCAATTTGGCATTCCACTATATACGATACAAAGACGACAACGTCAAATTCATTAGCTTTTTGGCAGAAGAATTTCACTCAATCTACGGGTTCACAGAATTTAACTTTAGAGGTCCAAAGAGACAATTTTTCGGCAATTTGGCATTGACAACTAATAATATACCATACAAAGAATTTTTCAGTGTCCTTTCCCATGGAATTTAAGTCGCCGGCTATGATTAATGTCAAATGGCTCTTCACCTAAAAAAAGGCTTGCCGACCCTCAAGAGTAGAGTGAGCTGGGCAAAAGAGAGAACTGCGAGTGCAAGTGTGTGACTGTGGAGTGTTGTCTCGTGTTAATAAGGAAACATACTCACACCTCCCCATCTTCTTTTACACACTCAGGTTGAGATCTGCCAACAAAAGTCTGGTCCTTCATTCTGCTATAGTCCGGTCTCCGGATCATCCACAATGTCGTCTTGAAAACAGAGAACGAAAGTCAGTGTATTGAAAGCAACGATTGGCATCATAAGTAAATGTTTACAATGTTGTGCTATGGTCACACCAATTTTATCAAAGATTTTGGTTATAATTTCAATAAAGCAATGCAGTCTAGGCAAAACAATTTTAGTCCTCCTGGCATCCCTTGATACTCCAAGTACTATGCAAGCCACAAATTCAAGAAACTGGGCTGGTTCACAATTCAGACAATGAATTTTAAAACTTTCAATCAAATCACTGCATGGATGAATAGAAAAATTTACAATACCAACAAAGTCAAGGACTTTGCTTCATCTGCTGGTGCCAAAATGTCAACATATTTTTTTTGGAAATCATAAAAGAATAAAGCTGCAGGCAAATCTGTGAACCAAGAAAGACCATTAAATTGGTGTGGTCTAAGATTCACTGTAAATTACGATTTTTCACAGTACTTTCGTATTCATGGTTTTCACGGCCACTTCTGTACCACAAACTTATCATAACCGTGAACAAATAATATGCCAACTTTCTTTTTGCTGCACCTGCTGCCTCCACATAAAGTGATTTACAGTAATTTGTGTATCACCAACTGCAGGAAATATTGCCTGCAGCAAAAATTACTTAAGGCATAACTGCCAATTGTGAATTAAAGATCTAGGTAAATTCCTCGATACTGTTACAAAATATTATCGGCCTGATGTCTTAACTTACAACATACCATGCATGTTTAACCATCATCGAATCAGAATCTGATGTACTTATAGCTAAATCTGATTACATTTTACAAAAAAAGGATGTAGAACCAAAAATGTTAACTTTATATTCAATACAGACAAAACTGTCACTGATGGCACTATGTAGGTTATCTTTGTAACATGTCAACCTTTCAAATGTATGTTTGGAAATACAAACTTACCAGTTCAACGTCTTGGTCTTCTTCTGTGCTGTGTCTCAAATGTTCTGTGTCTTCAAGTCAACTGGTTTGCTATATTAGCCCTCATTTGGTCTGCATTCGACAGGAGTCACTGGTCATCGCAGGTTTCTCCCAGTCAGCACAGGAACGTCAGGACACACCTACATGTAATAAGGATAATTAGTGTGATGCAAAAACAACACTGAATTAATGGCCATAAAACAAATTACACACTCTCCTCAAATACACCAAGCAAGTGGAATTTGCTAAATGCATAATTAAGATTTTTCTCACCTGATATTCTTCTAGGGTCTTCTGGGGTCGCCTGGTCTGGTCTGGTCCAATCCTCTCTTGTCAGGTTCAGACAGGAGGCCCCACTACTGCATCAGTCAGCAGCCACCTAACTATACAGACATTAGAAGTTACACACGTGTCTAAAATAATACCAAATAGCTGCAGATAAAATACAGAATTGGGATTTTTCTGACCTGATATTCCTCTTGGGTCTTCAAATCATCTGGTCTGGTCCAATCTGTCTTGTCAGGTTCAGACAGGAGTCCCCAATACTGCATCAGTCAGCAGCCACCTAACTATACAGACATTAGAAGTTACACACTTGTAATGTTACATACTTACTTGCTGTGGCCTTAGTGGGAATGGGGTTTATGAAACAAGACACTGGCTATCTGTGATGTCACTAACAAAGCACTAACACTAGCTATACATACTATGTATAAATGATACAATAAGGACCAAAATTGCATAGTACATCCTCAAAATCAAACCAAGCAACTGCAGTGACTGCTTCATACAATTTATACCAACAGATACAAATTGACAATGAAGTATAAAATCCAGTAAAATACAAAAGCAATGATACACCTAACAAAATCAAATAGTGTATTATTAAACTTTTTTTCACTTGTGCACAGGTTTAATTTTGGGTGCTCAGATCTAGAAATGCATAATGTTACATTATCACCCAGATAATTTTAGCTCTGGAAGTCTTGTTTAAAGGCATCCGATGTGATGTCAGGGGATCAAAATTGGAAATATTCTTAATAAGGCAATCTTTCAGATATTGACACACACTGCTTCACATTAGCACATTTGAGTCATACTTTGGGCATTTAAAACTGCAGAAACAAGCTCCAAGATGAGTCCTTTATTTTATGGGTGGTACCCTAAAAATCATTCCAGGGCCCTTCCAGTAACCATTTTCCGTCAGAATTTTGGTAAGTTTTGCTCCATGAGGGTCAAATTATATACTAGTACATTGGGATACTGTGGTTTCAACTCACTATATAGATAAATTACTAGAATATTGGCCTTGAAAAATCGGGTTTCTAAGCTCTAAAAACTGCATTTGATGCCTTTAATTAAAGTGACGTTTTTGGCGGGAACGTTGAGTGGGTTTAATTATGCACACGTGCGGAACATTCCAAAAGGAATGACCAAACTGAGGAAATTTCCAACAAAACGTTTTTAGCAGCGAAATTTGCTCCTAGCTCTTTTCAATGCCACTCAATACAATGGAAATATATTCAGTGTTCCCTAAAACCATGATAGTCAAGAAACTATGGAAAAATACTCAAGTACAAAAATTATGACCTAACACACCACGTGCACGAGAATAGTGTTCCACGAAACGCAAATTTCTACGGAAAAATAAAGGTTAACATAACAAATTATAACGTGGTCTGTTGCTACAGGTTTGTTGGAAGTACAAACACGTACATTCAAGGAGATAGTTTGTTGTCTTACTTCGCAAGAACGAACGAGTCTTCTCAGCACCACGCCGTCCTTCCCGCCATGGCAGTCGCCATTTTCGTTTCTTCTCCAAATTTCGCCCTGCCAGGAAACACGACTTTTCTCCTCCAAACATCCAAAGAACGGCATAAATCCGACCTGGCAACGTTCAGACGATACACTGTACACTTTAGACGGATAATTTGTGGACAAAAAGCCGAAAATTTACCCAAAAGTTGGAGAGAATTCACCCACGACACGCCGCACTCCCACAGCTGAGCTGCACTGCACTATGGTCGAACGGACCGTACCACGTGTGACATTACGTAGGGGTGTGTCGTGATTAATCATGATTGCTCTTGATAATTAACCATCAACATTCAGCCACCAATCAAAAGTAATTATTCTCACTGCCTAATTTTAAACTTGTTTTCCGTGCCTAACCCAACGATCAGGATACCTTCTGCCACAGCAAGTGTTTATAACGGAAACTTTTTGACGTATCCCCTATTTGTTAAATAGGAGGCCCCACGTTTGGACCTCTCCTTGGTGCTGAACTCACCATCAGTTCCATGTATTAAGTATTGTAGTTGTGGTCTCAATACTGTTACTCTCCAAGCAGAGGTATGGGGATATTTTTGACGTGTTTTTAGGCTTTTTTGTCGGGGTTTCTCTTTTGCACTGGAATTTTTGTTGGGTTGGGTGAAAAAAATTCCAGTGCAAAAGAGAAACCCCTATAAAAAGTCTAAAAACATGCTAAAAATGACCCCAAACCTCTGCTTGGAGAGTCAATACTGTACTAGACGTTTTGTTTGACACAACAGAACACCCATGGAAAAGCGAGAGATTGATGTGTTTATATACAGCATATAGTACATGGAAGTCTGTATATCAACAAGATCTTTATTTCATCAACAATTTGTATTCACATAACGTTATATTTTCTGAAGATTAAGAAAAAGTAACAACATACTTAGCTAGGCACTTAGCTAGGCACTCTGACAGACTTTGCGTGAGTGGTATTGAGCAAAATACAGTATAACAACAAAGTAACTCTCCTCCTATATGATGCATAAATATGTGAAATCACAAGAGAGACAAGCAGTTCAGGAAAACGTCCTGTTTATTGCCAATTTGCTTCCGAAGATGAACAGTCACTGATATCAAATGTATCCGCAAAACCTGTACACCTACTAGTGAAGTACTGAGACACAACTGGGCAGTTTTTCTTCAAGATTCTAAACCAGGATAGTGAGTGAGTGATTCTGCCAAGAAAAATCTTACAGACATCTGCAATGATTTCTACCTGTTGAGTCATCTCAAAGGATCTCAGCATCCCTCTTTTGAAAATAAACTTTTAGGAAAGCAAAGAAGTTTTTTAATCAATTCAATACATCTGGGAAGAGATAGGACCAAACCAATTCATTTCCTTGGTTCTTGTATATTTTAATGTGAAAATATTTTGAAACTTGAAAACTTTGAATTCACTCCATACAACTGAGTGTAACAGGGCATAAACCTGGTCCTCAGGCTTTGTTTTCATTATATTGTATCAGTTGATCATATCTTTAAACATCTAAGAACCAACAAATAAAATTGGTGTGGCCGTAAATGGTAATGTAGAAGAATGGAATGTGCTAAGTCTAAAAAATAGCTGCTTCAGATTTTCTATGGTAGGAAATCAGAGCTTCATAAAGATACCAGAAAAAAAGAAAAAAGCTTTCATATTGTATGTGATTACCAGTCATGTTCATATATTTACACCTTAATGTTAACCTTAGTCATACATTCAGAAAACTACAATAATCATAGTGTAATTTTCATTCTTAGCTACAACGTAAACCATCTTACATTGCACCGTATAGAATGTAATACAAATGCTGGCAGCTGCTTTCATACTAACTCATCACAAAATTGTCTTGTATATAACAAAAACACTAGTAGTATATCATATCTATTACATCTAGTCTGGTTGCTGTCCTATTCAGTTTACCTAGGCTCCTATATATATTCGCTCTCTTACAAATATTGTGAGAGAGTTGATATGGGAGGCCCAGTAAAATAAATAGGCTAGATAGACTACATATCATTATAATCTATGGTTTAACACATTTTTATGCATAGATTATCAACAATCATGATTCAGAAGAATTAAACGCCACCTGCTAGAGAATAAATTGACTCTAAGATCTAGATAAACAAAAAAAAAAGTATTTTTCTTCAAATCTTTTTCAACAAGGAAGAACGAATTGAATCAGTGTGCAACGGTAGCTGCAAAATCAGCAAAATAGACGCAATTTTTACAACTTTTCTGGGAGACATGTCTGCAGCCTCACTAATAATAAGTTGCAAAATCAAAACAAGTAAACCTCAAGACTTTTGATCAAGAAGCTCATCAATTTCTTTTCAGTAACATGGCACAGGAGCTGAGAAGTTGGCAACTTAAAAAAAGAGAATTTTTTTGCCAGCAATTTCAGAAAAAAATGTCTATTTTGACATTTACTGCGCATGAAAGTTAACAGGAAGCACTTTTGACACCAAAATCAGTTAGCTAAACATTAATTCCTTATAGTTATAATCAACAGTAAGGTAATTCTATCCTATCTAGGTTCTACAAACCAAAGCAATAGTGACTGTGTTGTGATGACTAGCCTTATTACATGTACCTGTGGCCAGTACATTGAATACTTGGAGAGAATTGGAAGCATTACGGTAAACCTTTACTAGTGACCACCTGGCCACAAAACACAAGTTTGATTGTACCAAGAAGGTGCTCTTGGTCTCTATCATCCTAATTAATTGTACATCTTATCATAATTTCGAAAACAAATACTGCTTTCTCTGTTAGTAACATAACATCCTCGAAATTATCTTACACCCCATTGTATACAGTATCATACATGTACGTCGGCCTAAAAATCTGTCTTTCTTTTTAACTGCACTGCGATTCTCATCCAGCCATACCCATTCACTCTATCTACAAATATATAGATTTGCCTACAAATGGTTAGAAATCTAAGAATGGGAGATTTGGAGAAGGCTTATTCTGACCATACCTTTCTATAGCCTTCTTAGCTGGCTTGTTGCATCCAGAACTGTGCTTTATTCAGAACTAGGTATGGTTTTGGATAGTCCATGCATATCCAGAATCATGCCTGGGCAAATCTATGTTCTTGGATATGTGGAGACTATCCAGAACCATGCCTGATCCTGACCCATTCTGACACAAGACTACATATATTAAGCACAGTTCTGGATACAATAAGCTCTAAAACTGGGGCTTTTTTGTCTCTTATAAAGCGCTTTTTTTCTTATGGCGTATCACTTCTATTCATACTTGGGTTACTTGCGCCAACCCAGCATTTTTCAATTTCCTTTGAGTGCTGAAATTTACGAGGCTAGCCCACTGTTGTAGTGCTTTCAACTGTGTGGCCCAAGGGCTACAGAAATGGAGATGGGCACCACCCCTATGCTCTACAAAGAGTGGAACGGGACCTATGCTGATCTGTTACAAGAAATAGAAGTGATAATGCCATAAGAAAAGAGCGCATTATAAAATCTCATTAAAAAAAGGCCCCAGTTGCAGAGCCTGTTACGAGGCTAATTTTTACCAGTCTATACGGCCATTCCTGATGGCTGCTGACTAGCCTACAATTTGGTACAAAAGAGCTCACCAGAACGGAGCCTCATTAAAATGCGCATATTAATTTCCCTTTAACAATCAGTCGCTACAGCCCCAATATGAAATACAAAGCAGGGCTCAAAATACTGTCTAGCTGCTTATGCAGGTAAGAATGGAACTATAGGCAGAAATTTTCTTTGTCTACATAATTTTTATGTATATATTAATGTACATGTAATCTGCACTGGTTCATAATCACACCAGCATACGAAGCTAGGGGGAAATTTGGCCAGTTGTGGCCCAAATTATTTTGAATTGTTCACAGCAACATCTTTGAATACAGAAGATAACAAGATCAAAAATGGTACCAACAGAAACATTTTTGAAGTGTTTTTAATGGACTATAAGGTAAAGAATATGAGCAGGAAAACTTGCCAGGTACAGGTATGCAGATGAAAGTATTTTGAGCCCTGCAAAGTTTGCCAGTGATTCATTTCCGTTTTCCCAGCCAACTTAGCATATTGCAACGATTTTCAAACTCAAAGATTTTCATTATCAAGCTCAAAAACTAACAGCCATTTGGTACCTTGTAAATAGATTTATAATGTTTATCTTATTATCTATTCAAATATTGGTGTTACTGTACCTACGTTGTACATACATGTACATATACACTACCCAATACTACAGCCCAACTTTGTATCACATGTGCAACAAAAGTCAACCTGCATTCCATAATTATCTGTTTAACACATTCAAGTTAATTCCTAGACATTTGAAGGTAAAGCTCTTTAATTTTCACACAAGCATATTTTTCCCCTGCCAACATTTGGTAACTTGTACGCTGCATGTAGCTGATTGTTTCTTGTCATGTGGTCTTTACGCTCTAAAAAAGGCAGATGATCATGACAAGTTGTAAGAACAACTTGTGAGAAAAACCTTAAGTTTGTTAAAAAGAATTTTCCCTTCAAATGACTTGCCGACCCAAAACTGTTACACTCTGAGTTTGCTGAAGAGCATTTTGCTGCCTACAAAGAGCTAGTTCACAGTTTGGACTGTGCATGCGTAGTGTGATGCACTGTACATGTGTGCAATATGTGAAGTTGAAGGCCTCTGAGAAATAAACAAAACATTTCTGGATAATTATATAAAGTGTGGAATAGACAAGAAAACAGAAGCAATGGACTGCTCATTCCTTGACAAAAACTAGAGGTGTACAGGCAAAAATTTTCGATTTCTTGAGTTGGAATATACAGTTCAATATGCAGTACAGTTCAAACTTGTTTCATAATGACTTCTACCAGCACAGATGAACTTTTGCTGCCTGGTGCTCCACTGTGAATTACTGTTGCAACTTGAATGAAGATAAACTTGTACAGCTTTCAAGCCTGTACAACAAGTCTTCGCAGTAAGACTCTGAGGACTCTCTGGTCTTGACTTTAGTGCCCATGTGAGGCTTTTTGTAATGTTTTTGTTTGTGTGTTTGTATAGTATGTATTACAATGTTAATTTGTATTTGCCAGACAAGAAGCTGTAAAAAATCAGTGTTATTCAGCATGTTTTTGTACAGGCTGCGAGACTGGTTTTTTTTATGAATAAACTAAACTAAACTGAAACTGTTTTAACAAAGACTGTTAACAAGTTAGGAGGCTTCAATTTTGATCACACACATACACACACACACGCACACACGCACGCATGCATGCACAATTCAAACTGTGATCTAGCTTATTCTCCCACCTATGGAGTTAGCTACTGTTATAACTCTTCCCTGGCGTCTGTTTTTGGTATGGTACTGGCTGTGTTCATGAAGTTGTAGAGGTCTGCGTTCGTGACCGGATCTTTGTAGTTTGTGGAGAACTTGCCGCTGACGTAGAATTTGATGGTTGGAAGGGACTCTGGGATGATGCCAACACGCAAACACAGGTCTGAAAAAACACAAATGTTGTTTAGGCCACACTGACTTAATTTTATGGATCACATCCTCTCAAGCTAGTGCATGCGGGCAAATAAAAAACATTCCAGCCCCAAAAAAGCTGCTAAACCACAGGAATACAAAGTTGGTTTAATATACGATTGTGAATTTGCGATACATAGCGACTTTTACGACAAGCTGGCACATGATGGCCTTCTGCGGCATTTATTATATAGGCAAATCAGCCAACTGTTACCTGCTATTTGCCTAGCACTCACTGGCCGTGGTCGCTCATATTGGCCTTTAGATACGGAGTTGGTTTAAAGAAAATGTCACAAAAAGCAGTGCAATAGCTCAATAGGTAGCAGTGCAATAGCTCAATTGGTAGAGTGTAACCGGGAGGTCATGAGTTCAAACCCCGGCCGGGGTCATACCAAAGACTTTAAAAATGGTACACACTTCTCTCTCTGCTTAGCACTCAGCACATACGAGAAAGGGTGTCAAACACACAGCACTACCAGCGGACTAGCCCCCTGCTGTATCATGCATTGCACAACTGTGTGTCGCCCTACAGAAATGGAGATGGGCACCACCCCACGCTCGGCATACGGGCACGGGAGACCTTTCCTTTCCTTCCTTTTCACAAAAAGCACCTTGAGGGATAAGGACAACATCAAATGTTCTGTAATACCCACCTGTAGCTGCTTCACAGTCAACTACAGCAAACTGCTTGTTGTTGTCATCTTGAAAGGCAGTAGCTGTTTTCTGGAAAGGTCCCTTCGCTTCTTTGTACTTCTGCAGCTCTTTCTTGTAGAAAAGGATCAGGGTGTGCTCCTAGGAAATAAATAAATACCTCAAGTTCAAGCATAACTAGGAAACATCCGGTGATTGGAGAAATACATAAAGTCTACTTCTTCTGATAACTTGAGAAGTAAATCATAATACAGTGTAAAAAACTGTAAAATATACACAAATTAAGTTTCAGATACTCTTTTATATATACAGGTAGGTTAAATTTGTTTTCAGACACATTCTCAGTCACTGACAAAAGATAGTGGTATTTCAGTAGCTTGACTAATTTTGTATTTCATAAATAAACATCTTCTCAGATATCTAGCCTTCATCGACATATACAGTTTCAGTTATCTACAGTATTTTCCATATAGAATTCAACAAGTCATGTCTGTTTTTCTGGCAACCCTGGATGGATTTAAAAGGTAATAAAATGAAAACAACACAAGATGTTTAACATACGTGTAAAAAATGACAGATATAGATAGGGAGATAGAGAGGTCAACCTACAATGTATAAGAAGAGTTGTGTACTTACGTGGCTCTGTACAAACTTGTCGAAGGCAGGGATGTTTTTGATGGGAGTGACGACAGCACCGGGGTGTTCTATCCACTCTGGTGCTGCTGCTGTGGGAGGGCTGGGGGGAAACAACAATCAACATGTGTCATGAAAGTTCATCTGTGTTGGTAGTTACATGTTTAAATATCCAAAAAGCGATCACAAAATTAAGAATCAGGTATCATAAATGAAACATAGAAATGGGCCGATACAAGAAAATACCAAATGACCAAAGGTTCTGTCCATTTTGTCCAAACATGATTGAAAATGAGCACCATTTGATGATGGATTGTACACTCTACAATGATAAGCGCCTATTGCTGGGGTCCATCCTGGTGTGAGTCGTTCAAAACCTTACTACAGTCTGGCCTTACACAGCTTGTACTTACTGTATAAAACTTGTATGCTTTATCTAAAGGCAGTTTACCGGTTAGGCCATGTTGATTTGATTATATGGATGACATTCGCGCGCATGAATTTTTGGCCGTTTCCAAAAAAAAAAAAGTTTTCAACCATACTGTAAATCGTACAAAACAGTTGCAAAAATGAGCAAAAATATACCATAAGTTACAAAAAAAATTGAT